ATTGAGAAGCTGACCAGGGAGGTGTAGTCGATTCCTAAGGGAAATGACACCTCCAGCTTCATTCAAGACCTGCAGACCACTCTCCAGTTCGTGCAAGATCAGCTCAAGAAGCAAGAGAAACACATCTCTGTGCTTCAGGCCCAGTACAGGGAGATCCGGCGTGGAAACCTCTACCAGCCTGCTCCTGCAGCAGAGCGAGTTGCCAACGCCGCTAACAGCCGTGCTGCACCTGCTGATGCACCTCCTGCTGTTCCTCCTCCTACTGGAGCACGTGCTGAGCCTCCTGCTGCAGCAGCAACTGCTTTTGGCTCCTGCCCTTCGGCCCTGCCTCGTTTTGTCCATGGCAAGACCGGCGTTGAGACTTGGCTCTCCATTGCGGAGGACTTTATGTCCATCCACAATGTGCGTAGCGAGGCTCGCGTGGTCGCGGCGACCCTTGCCCTGGACGACACTGCGAGCAAGTTGGTGTATGCCAACAAGCGCCACGCAGAGGCTAATGGCCATCCTTTCGGCTGGGAGGAGTTCAAAGCTGCCATGCTGGCGGCATTCCTGAGTCAGCCCCCGGCGCTCGAGGTGCGTAGCCGCCTGGAGAACATCCAGTGCGGTGACCAGCCTGTCCGCGAGTACGCCAAGGAGTTTGAGAAAACTCTGTCGCTGCTGAAGACTGCTCTTCCTGAGAGCGAGGTCATCCACCAGTTCTTCAAGGGACTCCCTGAGCACATCAAGCGTGTGCATGTTGTGCGTGGGGAGCACCAGTGGAGGACCTACAAGGAGTGCAAGGAGCAGGTCATTGACACGGATGTGAATTTCCGTGCGTACATGACTCACGCTCGTGCTCAGCAGCAGCAGCCTAGTGCCGAAGGCCCTAGGGGGGGTGGTAACAGGACTCAGGCACACAGGGGCAGTGGCTCTTGGAAGAGGCCCTATCAGCAGAAGGGGGAATCCTCTGGGACTCAGTCCAAGAGGGCCCATGCTGGGCCTGCCAAGGATCCTCAGGATGAGGATAAGCCCCCGGCGGGCTGCCGCATCTGTGGCAAGCTTGGCCACAAGTCCTATCACTGCCGTTGGAGGAAGTCCGTCAAGAACTCCGGCAAGCCCCACCAGGGCAAGAAGCCGGATGGTTCTGGCCCTTCGGGCTCGAAGGATTTTCCGAAGTCCAACTAGGGGGTGGGTACCTAGTTGGTGAGCGAGATCGAGTAGATGAGGCTTATGTCCTTCGTGATGAGGATTTGCTAAAGCTAGAGAAGCTTGCATCATGCAAAATCGCTTGTTTGTATGCCTCTTCTATCAATGAAAAATCTGTTTTTAAAACTCGATCGTACCCACTTGAAAACATCTCAATTGAATCCTTGAGAGATAAATTTTCAATCATCTCTTGCTCGTTCAACGAGTTGCCAGCAATCATGGATATTGTGGACCGTTGTGTCCAAGAGCACCCGCTCACGTCAGTGGGATTGGTGACTCGAATCGTGAAAGGAGAGTTATTCCGCCGCTTTCACGAATGGCATATCCTGGCAACATGGGACAAAGGGCACCACGTCTGGTGGACCAGCTCCCAAAGGTTTGGACGTGCTCACAACAAATTTAGGGTGTACTATCGACCTCCTAAACTTGTTGTCGCTTGTCCCATCCGTCCAAGATTCCAACAAAATCTACTGTTATCTGGACGCATGAATGGGGACGAAGCAAGGATTCTAGTCGATACAGGCGCGTCGGTTTCCCTTGTTGATGAAACTTGGGTTACGACACGCAACGTCCTCGTTGTAGGACCGTCATGTCCCATCCGCTTGGGTGACGATCGTGTCATTCCAAGTAAAGGACAGACACATATCGACATGATTGTACAGGACTATAGCGAAACAGTTCGCGTGTATGTCCTACCACTTTTGTCAGGTGTCGACCTCATCCTGGGCATGGATTGGTTGCGAGCCAATGAAGTCATTCTGGACTTCCAGTACAACATTGTCTCGTTCAACAAGAACGGAAAGGCAATCCAGTGGCAAGTCAATGATACTTTACCCACTGAAACACAGACGCCTGAACGCAGCGTGCTGTGTGTGTTGGCCAACCAGTTTGGGCATTCTGTTAAGTCGGCTGATACACTGTTCGTGGTACAGCTTGAGAATGCTGAGGCCTCGGAGCCAGCAATTGAGGATTTCCCTCCTCAGATGCAAATACTGGCAGAGGAATTTAAGGAAGTGTTTGAAACCATCCCTGATGGACTTCCGCCTGACCGCGCAGTGGGTCACACCATCCCTGTTGAACCAGGAAAGGTTCCACCCTTTCGACCTCTGTATCGCCTCAGTCCAGCTGAGTACGAAGAGGCCAAACAACAGATCGAGGAATACCTCAGAAAAGGATGGATTGAACCCAGTGCATCCCCTTACGGAGCACCGATTTTGTTCGTTAACAAGAAGGGCGGAGGATTACGCATGTGCGTAGATTATCGTGCCTTGAACAAGATTACGGTGAAGAACAGATACCCTCTACCACGAATTGAGGATCTGTTCGATCGGCTCCAAGGAGCTCAGTGGTTCAGTGCGCTGGACTTAGCTCAGGGGTATCACCAGCTACGAATCACCGAAGAAGATGTTCCAAAAACGGCTTTCAGAACGCCGTTCGGGCATTTTCAGTGGCGTGTGCTAAGTTTTGGCTTGACAAATGCTCCCGCGTCATTTCAGCGAGCAATGAATGATGTGTTTCGGGAGGCAATCGGCCAATTCGTCCTGGTATACTTGGATGACATCCTCGTGTACTCGAAGACCGAAGAAGAACACACGCAACACCTGAAATGGGTGTTAGGAAAATTGCGAGAGCATAAATTCTTTGCTCGGTTGTGGAAGTGTCACTTCTACAAACGCGAGTTGGAATACCTTGGTCACTTGGTAGGCAACGATGGCCTCAAAGTTGATCCAAAGAAAGTGGCGGCAGTCCAACAGTGGCCCGTTCCACAGGACGTGGGACAGGTCAGATCATTTCTTGGACTTGCGAACTATTTTCGCCGTTTCTTGGAAAATTATTCCTCCGTAGTCGCTCCACTGACTGCCCTCACTCGTAAGGGTAATGCTTGGCAGTGGACTGATCAATTCCAGAAGGCATTTGAGTAGGTGAAAACCATGCTGACCAATGCTCCAGTGCTGGCTTTGCCAGACCCGTCCAAGCCCTACGAGGTGGTAACTGATGCCTCGACAGTAGGGATTGGAGCAGTTCTTTTGCAAGAAGGACGCCCCGTGGCATTTGAGAGTAGAATGCTTTCACCGGCTGAGCAGCGCTATACAACTTCCGAACAGGAATTGTTGGCAGTTGTGCATGCGCTACGAAGATGGAGATGATATCTCGAAGGTGTTGACTTTGTGGTCACGACCGACCACTGTCCGAACACCTATTTTGCCACTCAAGCCACACTCACCCGCCGTCAAGCTCGATGGGCTGAACTCCTCAGTGGGTTCACCTATGATATTCGATATCGAGCGGGCTCGACAAACATGGCTGATCCTCTGAGAAGACAGCCGATTGGTGCAGCAACGGGTGTTGATGATAATGAGCATGAAGCAGTGTTTGCTGCTTGTTTCAACATCCTCGCAGCTGCTCGAGTGAGTGAGATTGCCTTTGGTGGTTTTCTGAAACGCATTCGCGCAGGGTATGATATTGACCCTTGGTTTCGGAACCCACAGAATACAAAGGATCTCTTGTGGGAGCATGAGCTCTGGTGGCACAAGAAGGAAATTGTTGTCCCACATGTGGGAAACCTGCGGAATGATATTCTAGCAGAGGTGCACGCCACTAAGTATGGAGGACACCTGGGAGTCAAGAAAACCCGGTGGGCCCTCAGCGATGTATACTGGTGGCCGGGATTGGGCATTGAAGTCCAGCAATTTGTAACTCGCTGTGACACTTGTGCACGGACCAAGCCGAGCACACAGAAGCCTGGTGGTTTGCTTCAACCATTTGAGATTCCCGATGAACCTTGGGAGAGTGTATCGATGGATTTTATCACCGATCTCCCCAAGACGCGAGATGGTCATACAGCGATACTAGTGTTTGTAGATCGCTTGACCAAAATGGTGCACTTCGTGCCCACGACGACTGACGTGTCTGCAGAGGATACGGCGAAGTTGTTTGTGACGCACGTTTTCCGCTTACACGGTTTGCCTCGTGTGATGGTGTCTGACCGAGACCCGCGCTTCACAAGCCGGTTCTGGCAAGAGGTCATTAAGACACTAGGAACGAAACTCAAGATGTCGTCTGCTTACCACCCCCAAACGGATGGACAGACGGAGCGGACCAACCGCACACTTGAGCAAATGCTTCGTTCTTTCATAAGCCCAACTCAGGACGATTGGGATGAATTGTTGCCAGTCGCAGAATTCGCTGTGAACAATTCTGTGCATGAAAGCACACATGAGAAACCCTTTGTCCTGAACTGTGGTCGGCACCCCACAACCCCTCCGACACATGGGATTAAGAACCTCAAAATCCCAGCCGCAAAGGACTTTATTGGAAATCAGCAAGCGGCATTGAAGTCCGCTCGCCATTGGCTGCAGCTTGCCCAACAGAGGCAAAAGTCCTATGCCGACATGAAATGCCGGGAAGTCGTCTTTGCAGTTGGCGACAAAGTATTACTGAGTACGAATAACATTCGTCTCAAGATTCCGGGAGCACGAAAGCTTTTCCCTCGTTGGATTGGGCCCTTCGAGGTGATTGCGCGTGTTGGTGAGGTCGCATATAGGCTCAAATTGCCTGCGACATTGCAGATTCACAACGTCTTCTACGTGTCTCTGTTGAATAAGTACGTTGCGGAAGGCAAGTACTTACCACCACCAACCATCGTTCTCGAGAAGGAACTCATTTATGAAGTCGAGCGTGTGCTAACGCACCGTGATCGACAACGCGGCCGCAAAACAGTTCGTGAGTTCCTAATTCAGTGGAAAGGCTATGGGCCGGAACACAACTCATGGGAGCCTGAGGAACACTTGACCGAAGCAGCGGTTCAAGCGTATATGGAAGACCTGGCTCTACGAGCAGGCCCACAACCAGTGGATGGGGTTGACCCTGGTCGTAATGTGGTGTGCCGTGCTCGAAGCACTCGCCCTCAGAAGCACCCTAAGGCAACGGGGACGTTGCCACCTAGGGGGGGAGGAGTGTAACGCATTGCCCTAACTACTGCCTAGCAACCTAACTTCTCCCTAGTCAAATGTCGAGAGTTATCTTGATAAAGAGAGAGTTGGAGAAGATGGTTGAGTTGGTTGGGATGAAACTTGGTTTGGGTTTGCCAAGCCTCAACATTGGAGGCTTGGAACATTTCCAACTCAACCAAGAGAATGTTGAAGGTTGGAATTCCAACCAATCAGAAACTGCCAAACAAGTGTTACAATCTACTCTATCCTAAACACAACCATTGAATGGTTCTAAGTTGGGTTTTCCAACCCAACACAATTGCCACATAGGCTCCAAGCCTAGGAACCATCCCACCATGGAAACCATGGTTGGGATAGGTTCCCAAGGGGTGTATTGAGGGGGTCTGAGCTAAGGAAGCTCATTCTCAACCTCCCACTCCAACTAAACAATTGGAAATGGGATTGTTTTGCCTAAGTCATTGAGAGCTCTCTCACAAGCCTTCCTACACAATTCTCTCAAGCCTTTTCAACAACTCCTTCAAGAAGATTGGCACTTCCAAGGCTATTGGGAGCTAGTTAGAGCTTCAACTTGTATTGGGATTTATTATAAAAGCATTGTAACTCCATTATAATAGCCTTGGGTGTTACAATCCGTTTCCCTTCGTCGCGCGCATTTCTGCCAGTCGCGCACGCGCCTTCGCGTCACGCTCGCTTCCCCTCGATGCGCCCTCTCCTCCCGCGCGTTTCCCCTCGATACCCGCTATCCTCCCACGCGCGTAACGCGCGCTTCCCTTCGGCAGACGCCCTGCTCCCCTCGTCACGCGCTCAATCATTCAGTCGCGATCTTCCGTATATCATGTTGAAAGTGGTTAGCTAACCACGACCTACAGGGACCTACATCGACTTACGTTTTCCAGCACATTTCTTCACACAGTTGAGACCAGAGCTTCCTAAGATTGCTACTAAGACTCTGAACAGTCTTTATAGTCTAGACTAAAGGCTGCGCACGTACAAGAGATCAATAGCTGAACCCGACGTCACGCGCATGCGCCGTTTGCCCCAGTTGCTGCTGCCTGGCCCTCGCCTCCTGTCGTCGCCTCCGCCACCCCAATTGGATGGCGTTTGTCGTAAGTGCCAACCCCTACCCACGTCGCCATCGACACCATCGTGTGTAGCATCTCCCTCATACGCCCTTGCTCCGTCCAGCCGCAGGGTTTAGCCTACTGATGTGATGGGCAGAAAGGGAGGGACAGAGGGGGATGACCAGCTGAGGGGGGGATGGTGTCACATTGAAAGCTTGATTGATGGGCGGTGGACAGGAAGGGAACGGGCTGGGGAGATGGGAAGGTCACAAGGATAAGGACAAGGGGGAGAGGGGGAAGGACAAAGGTGGAGAGACAGAGGGGGGAGGAACAGGGGGGAGGGCAGAGGGGGAGAGACAGAGGGGGAAGGACAGAGGTGGATAGACAGAGGGCGAAGGGACGAGAGGGAGATACAGAATGGGAAGGATGGAGGGGGAGGGAGGGGGAAGGGCAGAAATTGAGAGCCAGAGGTGAGAGCGGGCTTACCGCCCAATCTATTGTCCTTTGCCTCACCTGCTTCCCCCCTCCCTCCTCCCAGCTTCCCCCCTCCCTCCTCCCAGCTTCCCCCCTCCCTCCTCCCAGCTTCCCCCCTCCCTCCTCCCAGCTTCCCCCCTCCCTCCTCCCAGCTTCCCCCCTCCCTCCTCCCAGCTTCCCCCCTCCCTCCTCCCAGCTTCCCCCCTCCCTCCTCCCAGCTTCCCCCCTCCCTCCTCCCAGCTTTCCCCCTCCCTCCTCCCAGCTTCCCCCCTCCCTCCTCCCAGCTTCCCCCCTCCCTCCTCCCAGCTTCCCCCCTCCCTCCTCCCTGCTTCCCCCCTCCCTCCTCCCAGCTTCTCCCCTCCCTCCTCCCTGCTTCCCCCCTCCCTTCCCCCTGCTTCCCCCCTCCATCCTCCCTGCTTCTCCCCTCCCTCCGCCCTGGGTCCCCCCCCCCCTCCGCCCTGCTTCCCCCCTCCCTCCTCCCTGCTTCCCCCCCGGCTACTCCCTGCTTCACCCCTCCCTCCTCCCTGCTTCCCCCCTGCCTACTCCCTGCTTCACCCCTCCCTCCTCCCTGCTGAACCCCCTGCCTGCTCCCTGCTTCACCCCTCCCTCCTCCCTGCATCCCCCCTCCCTTCCCCCTGCTTCCCCCCTCCCTCCTCCCTGCTTCCCCCCTCCCTTCCCCCTGCTTCCCCCCTCCCTTCCCCCTGCTTCCCCCCTCCCTCCGCCCTGCTTCCCCCCTCCCTCCGCCCTGCTTCCCCCCTCCCTCCGCCCTGCTTCCCCCCTCCCTCCGCCCTGCTTCCCCCCTCCCTCCTCCCTGCTTCCCCCCTCCCTCCTCCCTGCTTCCCCCCTCCCTCCGCCCTGCTCCCCCCCTCCCTCCGCCCTGCTCCCCCCCTCCCTCCGCCCTGCTCCCCCCCTCCCTCCGCCTTGCTTCCCCTCTCCCTCCGCCCAACTTCCCCCCTCCCTCATAGAGGTGAGCGTCACGCACCAGGTGACCCTTAGCTTTCCCCATATGCCACCCCTCTACCTTGATCTAACCATCTTCCTTGTCCCTCCCGATGTACCTCAACAATCCCTTCCCATGTGCCTCTCCTCCCCCTCCCCATGTGCCTCTCCTCCCCCTCCCCATGTGCCTCTCCTCCCCCTCCCCATGTGCCTCTCCTCCCCCTCCCCATGTGCCTCTCCTCCCCCTCCCCATGTGCCTCTCCTCCCCCTCCCCATGTGCCTCTCCTCCCCCTCCCCATGTGCCTCTCCTCCCCCTCCCCATGTGCCTCTCGTCCCCCTTCCCATGTGCCTCTCCTCCCCCTCCCCATGTGCCTTTCCTCTTCATCAGGGCCTCAGATTCACTTTTAAGGTCGTCGACCCATCAGGGTACCCTTGTGTAGAAACCCTGATTGACAGTGTTACTAAAACAAAAAACCTGAAACATCAGGGTTGCCTTTGAAAAAAGGCTGATATATCAGTGTTCAAAAATATAAAAGGTTGTTAATTATTAGAAACCTCTTTTTCAAATACTAGGTCAGTAGCAGCCTTCCGAAATATTGCTTTGCTAAGCTAACATGCCTCATGAATCATCACCAGCCGTGTTATCATCACTGCCTTTGGCTTCTCTACTCTCCTCAGCTTGGGACACCAGTACGTGACAGTGCTCTGCCGCAGCACACACCCCGTCTTCACTTCTGCTTGCAACTCATACACGTTGAAGCTGCAGGGGCAGGGTGTGGGGGAGGAACCGGATTGACAGGCAGGGTGAGGCAGGGAAAGAGAGAACAGGAGGGAGAGAGGAGGGAAGATTGGCACGGTTGGGGGGGAGACGACTGGGGGAGAGATGGAGTGCACGGAGTGCGGGGTAAAAGGAGCAGGGGAATGGACGGCCAGCGCGCGGGTCATGCGCGGATCATGTCGTCGCGCAGCACGACGCTCTGCGCACCGCACGCGGTGCAGATGGCCTTTTCAACCGCGGTTCGTGCTGGCGACGAGGCAGCCTTCGGTTGCCGCCATTAGCACAAAAAACTACGCGTCGTCGAGTCGTAGCGGGCCTGCGACGCCGACGGGAATTGCCACGTGGTCTACGACCATCTAGCAGCATGCACTGCGGATCGCGTCGAACGAGAGCGATGTGTTCGGTGAGACAAGAGGAGGTTCGGCGGCGCTTGCGATGGGTTCGATTCCCAACAGCCCGCCCTTTCTGCTGCTTATGGCGCCATGAATTAGTGCAGACGAGAAAGCAAGAGAGGAATCGGGCTGAGAGGGAGAGGGAGAGAAACAGGAGGAAAAGAAACAAGAGATTGGGTTGGAGGGAATGGTTGCCACATTCTTGCTGGTGCAGGAACCCTCGCAGCCCTCCAGCACAACATGGTTGCCACATTCTGATTAGCTATCACTTTATGCTACAGCGTTACTGCCCAATGAAGTGCTGGCACCGCAGGAATATGAGATTCCCTGTTTTGCGGGCAAATGCACACGGAACAAGTAAGAATTGCTTTCAGTGTTAGTTTCGTTACACCGCCGTGGAATCAGTGTACTTGGGAAACGAAAGTCTGAAATTTCAGGGTGGCCTAACAAAAAAGGCTGAAAGATCAGTCCCACAAAAACCTAAACGCTGATTTTTCAGTGTAGGTAAAAAAAGGGCTGCCAAAATCAGGAATTTCAGGGTTTTTTACCTGATATCTGAGGCCCTGCTCTTCATCCCACGCGCAACAAGTGGGCAGCGCAACAGAGTTGGGAACAAGCTCATTTTCTATTCACCCCCTCTTCCTGCCTCCACCTGACTCCTTGCAGGGCTATTTGGCGTTCATTCACATCCAGAAGGAGGAGGGAGGGCGCAGGTGCAACTAGGGGGCAGCTCAGCAGACTTTGGAATGAGCTCACGTTCCCCATGCCCCGTGCTCTCTCGACTTCCCTTCTTATTCCAGACCTATCTGGATTGCATTCACATTAGCAAGGAGAAGGGTGGGCGCACGCGCATGTTTATGTTTACGGAATCATGAGGACCATAACTCCACACAGATGGCGACAGCACTGGTTGCTAAAGGGGTTGGCATTAGCATAGATTGTCACATGCTGGTTGAACAGAGGCATTTCATAAGGCTAACTCTATCCTCACTTCCAACTGCCTAAATTGTCTATGAATACTATAATATGTGCATGCGGTCATTCAATGTGTCGCTATGCAGATTGTTACCCACTCAAGCATGGCATGTCGAAGACCACAGGTGCATCATGGGGAAGTAAACACAACCCATTCACTCATCCTGACCTGCCACCCATAGCTCCACTTCCTCCCCATCGTAACAGCCTTCTATCCACCACTCATCACCACTGTCGCTCCTCTCCCCCGCATCTCTTATCATTGCGTTTGCCACTTCTACCTCCTGATCCGATGGGGTTTCATCCACATCCCTCTCACAGTGGTAACCTGCAATTAGCGCCAATGAGATGGATGGTAAGCCAGATTTTAGGACGGTGTGCCTGTCACGCTAAATAGTCTCGGGGACAACCATCTGGGCAGGGCAGGGGTGGGGCATGCTGGACCCGGGGGGGGGGGGGGGGGGGGGGGGGGGGGGGGAAGGGCGGGGCGGTGCATGAGAGGGCAGGGCAGAGCTGCAAGGACAGGGCAGAGCCGCAAGGACACGTGACACAACTGCTGGAGAGCGGGAGAGGTGGGGGGTCAAGAAATTTGCAATTGCACGCCAAGCAACACGCAACGGCTGTGTGCATGGTGGTGACAGCAGGCCCAAGGCAGCAGCAACCGTTGTTGATGGTTGCTGCTGCCTTTGCCTCGTGACATGTGAGCGTGATAGGACCCCCAAGGCAGCAGCAACCGTTGTTGATGGTTGCTGCTGCCTTTGCCTCGTGACATGTGAGCGTGATAGGACCCCCAAGGCAGCAGCAACCGTTGTTGATGGTTGCTGCTGCCTTTGCCTCGTGACATGTGAGAGTGATAGGACCCCCAAGGCAGCAGCAACCGTTGTTGATGGTTGCTGCTGCCTTTGCCTCGTGACATGTGAGCGTGATAGGACCCCCAAGGCAGTAGCGACCATTGTCGCTGTACTATGGTCGATGTAGGCTAGAGCATACTAGTTTCGCTCCGTACAGAGTCCTCACATAGTAACCAGTACCAAAGCAATACATTCTACCCAGTTCACATTTGCTAGGTACGGTAAGGATGGTAGGCACGAGGTACCCCAAATATTGTGTAGGTGCATCGGAGGGACTACACATACACCCTGGACGGGAATACGAAGAACCTACTGCATGTTTCGCTACGCCAACACCCTCGAAAACATTTTTGGGATGCAGGGAATTGGGCACTCACCTGGGCTCTCCTCTCTCGTGACCCGCAGGGGCGTGTGCCGCCCTTTGCTCCCCGTCAGTGCGCAGTATCCGCTTTAGTTGTGCGCGCGGTGGCCCAAGCCCGGTCACCTGGAGCGCTCGCTGCTCGTCGCCTGGAATGCGGGCTCCGCGTCGCCGGGAACGTGGGCTCCGTGTCGCGGGGAACACGGGCTCCGCGTCGACTGGAAGGCGGGCTCCGATCCGCCTGAAATGCGGGATCCGCGTCGCAAGGAATGCGGGCTCAGCGTCGCGAGGAATGCGGGCTCAGCGTCGGGAGGAAAGCGGGCTCAACGTCGCGAGGAATGCGGGCTCCGCGTCGCACAGAACGCGAGCAGCTAAATGCGACGAGCGGGTGCTGCTCGGCGCTTGGTGCAAGAGCCCTATCATGTCCGCTTTCTTCCCCCTGGCTAGTAACAACGACTCCAATACCCTACCGGTTTCTTGTTGTTCCTAGCTTCCCGTAGTCTCAAGTATGTCGTCACTTTTTTTTCTCGTAAGTGCGATCGCGCTTGCACGTTCCTACACTTTGCTGTTGCCAGCTCCTGCGATAGTCGGTAAGCTAGTAATCTGGGCACAGCATCGTCCCGAACACGATTCTGTTGTGGCGTTGAGTAGGTGGCGTTGAGTAGGTGGCGTTGATACCCAGCACTTGCGCTGCTCTGTTTTTCTACCCGTTAGCATCCAGCTGATTCAGTGGTGAGGTAAAAAGACTTCGAGTGAGCCACACTTTCCATGCTCCAAGAGAGGGATGTGTGCGACACATTTGTCGCTTTGGGTTGGTGGGATTCGCAGGTTTGGTGAGTGCGAAATGTTGACTAGTTTGCGGGGGATAGTTGTTCTCGCCAAAGGCAGCCAACCGAAATTGGTTTCGCGGATCTCGCATACAGCCTATTTCAAATCCACATAACTTGATATTTTACCATGCTGACCCCGGGCTTTAATGAACGGAAATAACAATTTAGCACGCCAGAACCATGGCGAGCCATGGCCCATGTCACAAGAATGAGCAATGAAGACTAACAGGCATCAACATACTCAATACCACCTACTACTGCTGAGTTTCAAAATCAGATTGGAGGGTACCAGGGTTTCATTATGCCATGTATAGCGAGCGCAACGTACCATAACATTCAGTACAAACTCATACTGAAAAATTGTTGTGCAGAGATGGAAGCAACAGGTCCCTAGAGGACCCCCAAGAGCATTTGTTCTGCTCTGCAAGCCTAGGAATCCCTAACAGAGGAACTCCAAGAGTGACACAACCCCATCCTGATGATGAAGTACAACGAGCAGCCCCCACCCAGGCGTACACTAAAGCAGCATATGTTATACAACCGAAAACAAGGAGAAGAATCCATCACATGTCAATCACGGGTTTCAATTCACACATTGTAAGGAGGAACGTTGTCCTTGACTGCTGCCGGCGCTGCATCTGCAACGGCCTTGAGCACACCGCGCTTGTACATGCGGGTGGTGTAGTACCAGAACATTGCAATGTAGGTGAAGGCGGCGAAATACGCCATGGCGCATGCACCACGGACCTTGCCCAGGTCCGCATTAGCGTCATTAATGTATTGATTAATATAAGAGTCGTAGTCCAACGATCCAGGGAGTGTGGTGCTCAGTCCCAGCGAGGCGAGCATGGCCTTGGTTGCGCTGGTGCTGTAATCTCCAAGCACCATACTGCACAAGGGAAAGCGGGAGAAGGAAACGGAGACGTGATTTAATAAGAGTTATAGGTTGTCGCTAAAAATGTAGGTTAATAGGTTGTTCAATTGCGTATAGATGGTCGGAGGACATTCTTGTAGCCTGCTGTTTCATCTGTGCTTCTTTGCTTCTCTGTTTTTACGCCAAAGGGGAACGACGAACGTACTTGTTCAAGGCGCCGGTGTTCCACCAGGTGTTGCACGCAGCTGCTCCTGACGTGGCGGCGGCGAACAGCAGAAGCGACATGATCTGTCAAATAACGAGGGATTTTGGATAGAAATAATAAAAATCTTTTGTACACACAGTAATCGGTTTTGGAGAATGTTTCAGGCATTCGATTGGCCAGTGACTTGAGTCCAGCCTCTCGATTTTTTTAGGCTGTCCAGCTGGGACCGCGGGACGAGTATGCGCGCACCGCGGTTGCCTCACGTGAGTCTCAAAGGACCATTCGATGGACTCACGTGGCCCTGCCGCCGGCTCTGACGCGGCCCCGCCGCCCGCTGATCGCGGCCCGCCGCCGGCCCTGACGCGTCCCCGCCATCGGCTCTGACGCGGCCCCGCCGCCGGCTCTTAGCCGGCCTCGCCGCCGGCTACATCGCGGCCCCGCCGCCCGCCTCGACGAGGCCCCGCCGCCGGCTCTGACGCGGCCCCGCCGCCGCCTCCTGCTCGCGGCCCCGCCCCGGCTCTCTCACGGCCTCGCCGCCGGCCCTGACGCGGCCCCGCCCCGGCTCTCTTGCGGCCCCGCCGCCGGCTCTCTTGCGGCCCCGCCCCGGCTCTCTTACGGCCCCTGCCGCCGGCCCTGACGCGGCCCCTGCCTCGGCTCTCTTGCGGCCCTGCCGCCAGCTCTGAAGCGGCCCCGCCGCCGGCCCTCGCGAGGCCCTGCCGCCGGCTCTGACGCGGCCCCGCCCCGGTTCTTTCACGCGGCCCTGCCGCCCCACCTGCAGCAGTCGGGCAGCCGTGCA